GTACTACCCTCACTAATTCATTCGACGAGCATCCACTTCACAGTGACATGGTGGACCACACTAGTCACAACTTCCTTCTCCAGTTTCAGGAAATCCATCCAATAGCCAACAATGAGCTGGTGACTGACAATCAGAAGTGGATGCTCATCAAAGAAAATTGGTGAGGCAAGCGCATTATCACGAGTAGACAAGGTTAGAATTCATACATCACTGAATTCTAGTCCATGCAGTTGAATGGTCAGTAAGCCTCGTCTCGTAACCTGAAAGGGTATTGGATGCGACCGGTTGAAGAGTCCCGGAATAAGACAAATCAGCTGTCTATTTGTCTCTGGTTTTTAATGATCTCTCTAACTGATGTAGGTTCGTGATGGATTGCAACAGCGTCTTCCGTTTGGCGTGTTCACTGTTATGTGGAGCCAGTTACGTTGGCTATTTCTCCAAAAACTTATTTTTTTTGGTGCCGGTAAATACCACGCCTACCAGTGTGGCTAAATAAAGGTGTAGTTAATACCATCAGCAGCTCTCTATTTGGTCATCACGTTCAAACAGGCCACAAAGCCGGCACTAGAGAATCCTCGTCTATCATTTGTCGGCTGTCGAATAAATCACTAAAAACTTCTTCATACCAAACATCCCAAACAGCAGAGGCCAATACGATTCGCCTAAATCAAGTAGAGCTCCATGTGCAAAAGAAAGATAAGCCAAGCCATTGTAACTATCATGCCCAGCTCTCAAATCTATTAAATCATATATTCTGGATTCTTACTTCCCTTAATTTATCTGATATCCAACGAAGTTCACACAAAAAAATTGGAGGACTTCGACTTCGCCGATGATATATGTCTGATTTCACACAAACTGGAAGATATGCAAGCGGAAAGCAACAAGTTGGCAGAAGAAGCATCAAAGATAAGACTTCAGGTGAACATAGAGAAAACAGAGGTGATGAAGATTCTTGGGCAACACCACCAGCAGCAACGACAACAACAGACAACAATCAGCATAAATGGGAGGAACCTGAAAGAAACAACTTCTTTTAACTACCTGGGAAGCATCGTTTCAACTACAGGCGGAACTGACGAGAATATCGAAGCAAGACAAGCTTTCACTACTCTCAAGTCTGTGTGAAGGTCAACAGCACTCAGAATGAAAAATAAGATCCGGATTTTCAACTCCAATGTGAAGTCAGTGCTACTATACGGATGGATCAGAGTCTTGGCGCGTCACAAAGAGCATCTCAAACAAACTACAGACCTTCATCAACAGCTGCCTTCGCTCAATACTACTCAAGATCAGATGGCCGACTAGAAAAAATCAGCAACAAAGAGGGATTTCTGGAAGCAAGCTAACTCAGCAGGAACCAACTGTGTAATGAATATGCAACAAGAAATGGAAGTGTATTGGCCATACTCTGAGGAAACCATCAAATGACATCACTAGACAAGCCATTGCTCGAGTGGAACCCGAAAAGGAAGCGGCGAGTTGGTCGTCAGTGTGAGGGTGACTTGGAGGGGGTCATGTGAAGAGGAGATGAAAACGTGTGGGCAGACTTGGAGCCAGGTGAAAACTCTAGCAGAGAACCGAAGGCAATGGAGACGCACGGCTGAAGCCTTATGTTCCTCTAGGAATTAAAGGAAACAATAATAATGATAATACAACGAGTTTATTGTTATATTTATTATGCATATTAGCTATGATGTTTTTGAAGTGTAATCTGTCACCACTGTTTATTCAATGTAATTTAAAACAGCATTAATGTTGTTAATAATAACGATATTTCCTTAGAGAAAGAAAGACTACATTTGATGTATATTATAATGATATCATCATTCTATTTCACAGATTCCCCTCATCAGCTAACTGCAAACCACTACCTGAAATTACAATGCCTATGCACAATGACATTTCATACTTCAATGTTTGAAAGGTAATAGAGAAAACATTATAATAAGATGAAGGCATCCGGAATATCAGTATTACAATTTTTGTAGTTGAAGTCACCATCAATTTAGATGCTATCAAACTATGAAAAAAAAGAAGGAAGGAGAGGGGGGTTGAGAGAAGATGGAAAAATCTAATAAACAGTGTTAACTTGTACGTCAACATGGCAACTGAAAATCTGGTCTTTTATCAAGGGAACCAAATGTATGAGATATTTCTTTAATTATTATTATAATATTATTATTATGGTGACATAAATGTAGAACTTGGTGGAGTAGAGGTTATCGGAAAGAATACTCTCTCTGTGCTCATTAATCATTCTTTTAGATTTTTATGAGACGCCTGAATGAATTAAAGCATAAGATGTAGTGAGTTTCAATCCTTTACTCTGCATAAAATGTAGGCACTACAGATTAATTTATTAAGTCCAGGTTAGGTTAGTTCAATGTAATTAGTTGGCGGTGAAAAAAAACTGTTATTCTTTGATGTTACTAAATGGTATTTCTTTTTATGTACTATGAATTGAGGCAAGTAGCAAAAACATCATAGCCTAGTTTTAGCCTAATCATTTGGCTATGTCAATATTTGAATTCCCTAGCCGAAAAAAAATTGTGTGATTATGTACCATTTTAAGAGTCGTTAATACTAATGCAACGAATGTTTTCAATGCTGGTCAGGCTCTCCAGATTAATGAGGAAATCAGAAGATACTGCTATGAATCTGTTACAGCATATGCGAGTGAACTATTCCAACCTGATCAAACAGACGACAATCTTGATCACACGGAGTGGGTAGGTGGCCATCTTGATGTCACTAAGCAGATAGAACGATCTCACGCAATGGAAATTTCATCTCTTCCAGCATCATAACGATGAGATATAACTAAAAAAGAAAGCTGTCACGACAAAATGCTACGCGTCTACAATCAAAGTAGTTAAAGATAAGTAGATCTTCTGTGACCCCAACCTGATGAAGATAACAAAAATTCTAATGGATCATATGAATTCAAGCCAAACTGGGAACACACAACACAGATAAAGAATTACCCAGAATCCCTTCTCCATCCACGTTCAGTAGTTCGGCAGTTGAAGTCAGCAGATATAAAACACAAGGATATACACAAGACGACATGGGTTTCACTGGAAGCACACACCGAAAATCAGATAAAACTCACCTCATCCTCCTAAATATAAAATTCAGAAGGGGAGAAATCGTAGGCTAACATGACTGTCTAATGCAAAGACCCTTCAAGATTAAGTTGAAGGTCCCCAAAGAAACTGGAGACATACCACAATCCAGGTGTAACACTAAGAAGCTGAAGGAAGACACTTACACACTAGTCATTAGGAAAATTATACGGAATTATGCAACATCACACAAGAAGTGTGAGAGGAAACACACTTAAACTCTCTGAAAGCCATGCAGAGGAAAATTCTGGTTAGATATTTTAGACGACAAGAAGAGGCAGGATGAAGAATGGCTCTCTACGGACGTCTAGAAGATGTTAAAAGATAGAAGGATGATGAAGCAGAGGGTGAACCAATGCATCGATGTACAAATAAAGCAGAAGCCAAGTGGAACTCACGTACTAGAGAAGGAAGGAATGAAGAAGAGTGCTAGGAAATACAGAAGATCAAATAATGACACACTGGCAAATGAAGAATAGTTTAGAGAAACTCTACAACACTACATCAGGAAGAGATAAATTCAGACTATGTCGGTGAAAGATAATGAAGGAAAATCAATCACCAGAGAGGTGAAACAAATGAGACACTTGAGTGATTACTTCAAAAGACTCTTGAATCGACCACCATCCAGAAATACAACCAGCAGTTACTGAACTCTCAGTGAATACAAATCCTCTGAGAAAAGCGGAAGTCTTAACTGCTATAAAGTTAGTAAAAGCAGGAAGCAGCGCTAAAAACTGACTGAGAGACCTCAGTCAACTTGCTCATGTTACTGCTGCAAAAGGTTTGGAGGGAAAGTAAGGGTTTAAAACAAGCTATAAAGGTTAATAAAGCAGGATTAAATGAATTCATCAAATTTCGGTAGAACTCGTCAGCTGAATACTCTACATACACGGATGCATATATACTTTTGAAATTACATTGAAAGATATAAGACTGATAAGTAAACAAACTACATTGAATTAGTCATACAGAAAGACAGGTGCGAATGTTTTCCAGGTCATGTTCAAATAGATAAGGGGAGAAAGAGTATTAGAGAATAAAATTAAGATAAATTGCATTACGCTTCAATTATATCACTTAGATAAACAATTAGACATTAGAGAATATAACAAGAATGGCAAACAGAGTAATATCAACAGTAATAGTTATAATAACAATAATAATAATGTTGAAGTGAGTTAAGATAATCCTACTAATAAAGGATAGCTTTAAATGAATCAATAATAATAGGAGGTAGAATAATAATAAGAGGTAGAATTATAAGTAAAACGTATTACCATGGTAAGGTACCTGCGGTTTGACAGAAAGACTGCCTTGTCAAGTTGTAAAGTATGACTTAATTATATGCAGAAATTCGCAAAGGATTATGCTCCTGTCAAACCTACACAGAATATTACCTTCATCAGCATGAAAATACCGAGAGATACCGTGGATAGAAGATCTCGTCTGGAGTATGCTGGAATGGGATATTATAGCTTAATCTCAAAATATATACATACACAATCATATAATAACTGTTTTTACCTAGTAGTGTCAGAATTACAGGGTTTTTTCAGTATGGAAAAGTTAATTACTCTGTGCATCGGTGGCACAGCGGTTAAGACGCCCGCTGACCATGCACATCATCCGGGTTTCGATCCCCGGCTGACACACTGCTTTACCTCGTTAAGCCAGAAATAAAGCTGGTAAACAGGAAAGGTTGGGCACGAGGCTAGCAACCCCATCCTGTAAAAATAAACACCACTGATACAGAAACTTCAAGCCTCTAGCTTGAAGCCCTATGTGTTCCACTGGGAACGTGAAGGAATAAAAAAAATGCAAAACGTTATGACCAAATATAAGTTAGGCAATTCATCGTATTTCACTTACGTGATTGTCCCAAAGTTAGCAAATGCTGCTAACAATGTCTCATCTTGCACTTCAGGTGATAAGTCACCAACAAATATATGAAATGAATCTAAAATAAATTAAGAATAAGACAGTAATATAATGAAATGTAATACGATACAGGTTCAAATTACTTTTCTTCGTTACAAACAATAAGCAATACTTCAATAAAATCCAAGCAGATAATGTTAGAAACACTCGTCTCACTTTTTTGTTCAACGTTTGCAACACATGAATGGATTTTCATTTAATTAGGTTGCCAAACAGTCAAGTCACTCTTTACTTTGGCTTTAATTTTTCTATTTTATACGTAACAGGAACTGTTTTAGCATGTTTGGCATTATATCAGGCATATTTGTATTGTCTGTTCATAGTGGAAAAATGGATTCGTCAAACGAATACCCACTTTTTTTTACAAAGCGCGTTCGGAGTATATAAGTTTAGTCATAATTCAGAGAGTAATACTTGTGATTTCATGTCACATGTATAAATAAAAATTTTTTTACGAGTTGATCACGGATTGATATCAGTTAGAGAACCGTTGAAAACCAGGGAGTACTGGACAGCTGCTGTTTCATCCTAGTTTGCGAATCATCGGCAGTACGCATCCACCACAGTGGGTTCGAAGCCAGGACCTTCCGGTTACAAGGCAAGCTGTCTTGTATACCATTCAGCCACTAGGGCCCGATTCAATGGCTCATGAATTCTGACTTTTACCAATTCGTGATTTAGCGTGACCCCAACCAATATCGTTGGTGGGACATCCATCCTCACACATGGCATCTGGTTGTTTATGCTGACTGAGTGAGTGCAAAATATTCCCAAATTGATTTCAGAGTGATAACGACATCTGGCTTGCCACTCCAACTCTGGCTTTGAAATCCTTGAAATCCGTACTTAATTTTTTTATATGCATCTGGTTAATAATTACAAAAATATTCATTCAGACACCTATAAAACACAAAATAATCGAGCAAAGAATATTTTTTTCGATAAATTCCTCTTCCACGCTCTACAATTATATATATGTTTATATACATAGAATATTCTAGATTAGTAGTCAATAGCGATATTAGTGTTTTTAAATAATATCGATTTGTAAAGTATGGTCAATGCTATTACAGTTCATTAAAGATGCTTAAATTATAATAATAATAATAATAAAGATATAATAGCGAATAGAATATCAACTAAAATTAGGGAAATTCCACAAAAATTCAGGATCATTCAAACCTGGATGGCCAAGGTAATGATAATGACTGAACTAACTTCTTTTGGGTGCATAAATTAGGCTTAATAATATGGATCCCCACAGCCTCAGCAATATTTAGAAGTCGAACTCTTAAAGAGATTCTTAGGTATGCGGTAAATGACCCTGAAAGCATGATTAACATCAATCTTGTGTTCTGTCTCCACAAGATGAGCCAGAATAGCGCTGCGAATAGATTTCGTTTGTCCTTTGCTAAACCAGGCAGAGTGATGTTCGGAAATTCGACGCGAAACACGCCTGATTGTACGGCCTATGTAACTGGCTCCACAGGAGCAGTTAAATTGGTAGATACACATGGAAGAGGCGAAATTAGGCAGTTTGTCTTTTATTCCCAAACGCAGAAGAGGAGTGGTTTTAAAGATACAGCGTAATTGAGCAGCAGGGAATGCTCTTTTTAACGCATTTCTAAGGCACTGTGTTAGTATCTCACTGGTGTTGTCTCCTAGGAACTGCATCTGTAAGAACAAGGCCTTTTTTAAAACTTTTGGTAACTTGGGCTGTTTTGGTTTCAGATTCAGATTCTTATCAATAAACTTTTCGGGATAACCATTCTCACTTAGCAACCGTTTAATATTGTAAAGTTCCTCGTCAAGACATTCATTCGAGCAAATCTCTCTTGCTCTGTTGACCAAGCACTTTATTAGATTGCGTTTGTATTTCAAGGGCACAAAGCTGGGAAAATGTGTCTCCTGGCCCGTTGATGTAGGTTTTCTATGAACATTTCTTCTTATTGTGCCGTCCTCTTTCTGGTCATAAGGACGTCTAGAAATGAAATACTAGAGTCTTTTTCTTTCTCAATAGTAAAATTTATCGCAGTATGTATCTCATTAAATTTATCCAGGATGTTCTTTGCTTCCTTTTCGTTCTTCATATTCAAAAAAGTATCATCCATGTATCGACAGTAAAATTCGAGTTCATTAATAACATCTTTCAAAGGCCCATTTTCCAGTTTCACCAGGAAAATGTTGGCTAGAATGGGTCCTAGTGGCGACCCCATTGCTACACCGTCGATTTGTCTATACAGTTCCTTAATAAATAAAAAGTGGACATTCATTGTACATTTCAAGAGAAGCTTTTTCATAAAAGATATAGGAATGCCAACATCGATGTTTCGTCTTTTGAGTTCTTCATATATAAAGTCCACTGTTTTCATGAGAGGTACATTAGTGAATAAAGAAGATACGTCAAATGATATCATAAATTTATTATCAACATTTAAATCTCTTATCCTTTCAACGAATCCAAAAGTATCCTTTACATTATGTTTCACCAACTCAGTATGAAGGGGCTGTAAGAGTTCAACTAACCATTTGGCTACCGGATGGTATGGTGAATTTAGCATATCTAATACTGGTCGTAGCGGCACTTTAGGCGAGCCATATAGTCTTGGTGTGAACGTTCCGGTGGGTTTAAGTGATGTGTACTGACTTTGTGAGATGAAGCCTTGTTGTTTCAATCTTGTATGTATTTGTATGTATTCAAACAGCACAGTTAGTTTTTATAATGGCGAATGTTCTTCTGCTTGGTTATTGAAGTCTGTATCTTTCAAGGTGCTGTTCTGTCTTCCTTCTTCCTTTCTTGTAACCCGACTTGCCTCTTTCAGAAGAAATTATCTTTTTAAAATTGCTGATGGTCTCAATGACTACTAACATCAGTCAGTAGTCTCTTCAAATGTCGGATAGTTGACTTCACTACTTCCAGGCATAAACTTGATCTATACGAACTTGTTCGTTAACTCCTCCATCTTGCTTACTGTTGTTTATTGCTCCCTCAATCCTTGGTAATAAAGGTTTTCAATAGGGCAAGTGGTATGCCAATAAGACACCGCCTTACTATTGTAGTCGACAGACATCTGAACTCATGCGAGAGGTTTGCAAAAGCCATATTATTTGACTCTCAAAACCCACTTTATTCATAACTCTCCTCTCTTCTATCTCATCAACAGGTGGAATTAGAAGTCATTATAAAAAAATGATATGCTCTCACAACTAAGTACAAAACTTAACGAAACCCTATTCAGGCGATATTCTATGTGACGGAGAGAGTGATAAGCGGGAAACTTATGCCTTACTATGAAATTAGTAACACACAAACCTGCTCTTTGATCTTTTCCTATTTGTAATTTATATGGTGATGACATTATGCTTTATTGTTTTTTTTTGTTGTCATTTTATGCTTTTTGTATCGTTTGACAATTTTTTGTTGTTGAGTGAATTAAATGTAATATTACGCCGAATGTAGAGAATCCCGTGCTGCATCAAAAGCATAATTTCTGGAATATAGCATATTATTATTATTTTTTTTCAGAAATGAATTGGTTTCATAGTTTGCAAATAAATCAAGTCATACAATCAAAATGTTGCAAATAAGCTGGTATACATCATCGAAAGTGTGGATAAAGCCCTTTTAAAGGGACATATCAAAAGTTTTACCGACTATGTGTTATTTCATAGGTGGCAGGACCATAGAGTATATATATTATCATCGTAATGGAAAGATAAATGTATTTACCCGCTTAGTAGAAAACCAATAAATGCGTCGATTTGTTTACCTGATAATCCTTTTATCTGTCCACTATAATGGTAAGAAGGTGTCTTAGTGGAACATCACCCGCCTTACTATAACACCCTTCAAATACCCTACAGAATTTGACATAGTCCTTACTGAGTAACTCGGGAAAAACTAAAGGGTAAGTGAGTAATAAACAACAATAGGTAATTCAAATGAACTGTCATCAAGATTTGACAGAATAGTCCTAAAATATTTGGGCGCCGAGTGAGAAGTAGACATTTGTAAAAAAATTATATTTGTAAAATCTCAGCGAGATTGAAATGAATAATTCCAACGTTTCGTTCGGCAATCTGGTCCGAACTTCTTCAGGGGAGAAGACAAAGCAATAAGTCTAACAGGGTGCTTCTACTAAACTCTAATCCTAAACACCATAATTTTGAAAATACGTCTAATCATAAAATTCTAAATACCAACAGTTTGAACAGACATGAAGGCGTGATGTTAGCTGATGCATAGGAAATCCTTATTAATAAATAAAAATGGATATGTATCACTAATTATTATTACTTGGTCAAAATTCTCGACTGTCCATATCTTCTTATGGAGACGTTAAGAAATGTTTTACAACTGTTTACCCACACACACATACACACTGTTTAAAGTGTTTAACAAAGGTAGACCAATATTTGTAAGTCCGAGGTCAAATTTTGATCATAGCTCATACAATTTTGTTGATCATACTTGTTGATACTTGTGTTATGACTCATGATTGGACAAAGTTTTTAATAACAATTGATGTTCCTTTTATATATGTTATGTTAATTTCGATTAATTTCCATGAAGTAGTTCGGACCAGATTGCCGAACGAATCGTTGGAATTACTCATTTCAATCTCGTTGAGATTTTACAAATATAATTTTTTACAAACAATAGGTAAGATGGAAGAGTTAAGAAACTGATTGTTTTAATGTCTTAATATAGAAAGTTAGACGAAACATCCTCCTAGAAATCATCAATATATGAGATGACCAAAAGCAGCTAGGTTAAAGAAATATTCTAAGGTATTTAATGATTGATTTTATTTCTATTTCAGTGACTAGTGTTCTAAAAGCATGATCTGAACGAAGCAATTCTTGTGAAACATGTTTTCAGTTGAGGTTGCAGTTAACTGTCTGACATTAGAAGGGATTCAACGTAAGACCATTTAAAATAATAGAGAAGATTTGTAGCTCAGGTGGATGATTTACAATTAAAAGCGTTCTCTGAGCTGGTTGGTTTAATCGCGAAGA